CTCCTTCTCGAAACCCATAACCCCAGTCTCATTATTTGAAAAACATTAAAAAAAAATCCCAGTGAGGAATATTCTACAAAATACCTGATCAGTAGTCTAGTAGTCTTCAAAACTGTCAAGATCATCAAAAACAAGGAATGTATGATAAATTGTTACTGCCAAGAGGAGCCTAAGGAGGCATAAACATCATGTGGTTGAGGATCTTGGAACAGAAAAAGGACATTAAGTTAAAATGAAAGACATCTGAACATAGGCACTTTAATAATAATTCATCAATATTAGTTTTTTAATTGTAAAATATGTATGACATTGATGTAAGATGTTAATGATAGGGAAACTGGGTGTGTTGTATATGGAAACTCTCTGTAGTATCTTGGTATTTTTTCTATAAATCTAAAACTGTTCTAAAAAAGTTTTTAAAAAATTTGTGAACATTTTCCCACTGTATTCTTCTGTTGCATCATTTTAAGTGGGAAGCCCGATGATTTTTAAGTAGAAGGATGACATGATATGATTTGTGATTTTAAAATGATCATCTGAAAGATGTGCAAGTACAATTCCTTACCATGATCTGCAAGGACTGGCATGGTCTGGCCTCTGTAAACCTCTCCAATTTCATTTCCTGTCTCTTTCTTGCCATGCTTCAGTTACGCTGGTCTACTTTCAGTTTTTTTTTTTTTTTCTTCCTGTATGCCAGTCTCTTTCCTGCCTTAGGGCTTTCACACATGTTATTCTCTTTGTTTTCAAAGTTCTCCTCCATCTCCTCTCCCCATGGCAGTTCCTATGACTGTTTGTTTAGTCGTCTTCTCCACTATTCTTAAGTCCAGAGTGGGCAGGACTACCTCTTTTTCATTTACTTACGTATAGCCAGTACCTGGCATAATGCCTCACTCAAAGCAACGTTCAGTATTTGTTGAATAAATAAATAGTAATTACTGTTTTCACTCACGCTTTAAACAATATTAGTGTGAAGTTCTATTTTAGCTGCTATGAGTACATACAAAGGGTTTATAATACATAATTCTTACCCTGAAATAGTTCCCAATTTAAAAGGAGTGATTGAATAATGTTGTAGCATGGAGGAAGGCGCTATAGTTGGAGTGAAGTTCTGCCACTAGCCAACAACGTGACATCAGATAAATTATTTACCTTCTCTGTTCCTTTATTTATCTATCTGTAACATTAAGGAGTTTGACTGGAGTTTCCTATGGCTTTGGTTCTCAAATCTGTGTACAATTAATGGTACATTGGTTCATTTATTTCTTCCCAGGCTCCAGTCTGAGTCAGTAGGTCTGGGTGGGGTCCAGGAATTCCCCAGGTGATTGTGATGTACCACTAGGTTTAGGAACTACTGATTTAGGTCTTTCTAGTTTAGGGGAAAGGCGGGGGCAGGGGAAGGGAAATAATCTTATAATTCTATTGTAGTATGTAGCCGACTGTGAAAGTGCAAAAGTCAGGAGTCAGGCAAATTAAGGTGTTGTATTTGTTCAGAGGCAGGGAAAATATTTTTTTGCTTGGGTGATGTGGGGACTTAATGAGACAGCAATGTGGAAATGGACTTTGAAGAGAGGATGCGGATTTGGGCAGGTGCAGAAGCGATCACGATTGGTGTTTTGTCTAGCTTAGTTGGAGGCCAGAATATATGCAAAGAAGCAGGAGGGAAAAAATTACCCATTTTGATGCAACGGACCATACTTCTGATCTTGTTTTCCCCATTTTAACTGTGATACTTGGTTGTCCTTCTGGAGATGAAAGATTATATTATTGTAGCTTGATCTTCATTAGGTAGAGGTAAAACGAGGTGATGGACACCATGAGGACGCTTTGGGAAATAATTGGGCGTATTCTTTCTCAAGCCTTTTAGGGCTGTGCCCTTTGAGATCCACTTTGACAACCCCATTGGTTTCCTGGTTAGACACAAAGAATATCAGGACCCACTATGCTATCTAAAATAATAATTTTGCTGTCAGAATGATTACTATTAAACCAAAGTTGGCTTTTTTATTTAGATGAAACCGTATAAAGGCAACATTGAGTAAATTATATGGCATCCACATGATGAAATAATGAGCTTAAGTTTAGGGGATGAAAGTAACGATCTAATGCAATATTTAGAATAGGTATACAGTATGTAGTTATTAACCTAAAAGTCACATCCTGCATTCTTTTGATTTGTGGAAGATTTGTCATTAATTGCCAGGAAGCCTCTGATTTTTAATACATAATCATGTCATAGCTGTTGACTTTCTTCCCCTTCTCCTGCCTTAAAAGTACGTCTTTGTAAATAGATTACTTTCAGATCTGTAATGCTCCTTTTAAACATTGGGTTGCTAAGTTTAGCCCTGTTGCTCTCTTTTTTAAAATAGAATTCCCCCCCAACTTTGCCTCTGAGTCATCACTGACAAATCACACTTTGTTTTTTCATGGATGGCAACTGGCGTAAAATCTTATTTAACCTTCCTGCCCAGTGGGAGCCTGCTAGTTCTGAAATGCTTTTTGTTTTCATGAGCTACCGTTGTGTGGAGAAAATGGGTATGATCTTCCATTTGGAAAACAGTCTGTGAGATGAATTCTGACCCTTCATTCAGACTCACTCTAAATGGGGCTGTTTTTATTCAACAGTTGTCAAAGACAGCTTTTCAAGGCAGGGTCAGAAACACCAAAGTCAAAATTGAGAAGAAAGAATGAGGTAATGGGCAAGAAATGAGGCAGCTAGGCTGACTTTTAGCCTAGCATCCAGCCCATGCCCACCCCTGGAAACCATTTCAGGTCAATCTAGGAGCTACACATTAACCTGTAACCATCCAGTCAACCCACTACTTCCTGCAGCCCTTGCTGTTGTTGGCCTATTGACTATCACTTGACTTTGAAATTAGAAAAGTGGAAATACCAAGCCCCTTGTGACTTTTTGCTTGCAAAGAATTACCTTTATTAATGTGAATTATTGGCCTCCAGTAGCACCAGAGCTCCTTAGAGAGTGACTTTCACTAGGCTTTTTGAAAGGGACAATTCCCCCCTCGCCAACATGGCTAGATCAAAGAAACACCTTTCTTAGAGTAAAACCTCAGACTTGAGAAAATTTCCCCAGTTTCAGGAAGAGCCTTCATGGGAAAACAACTACTATTGCATCCCCGGTTGCTTTTTATCTGCTATATTGTTAAGAAGAACAGAGTCAGAAGTATAGACCTTGGAAGCAAATTTAAGACCATTTACTAATCTGCAAATTGTGTTCTGTGTTCACATTTCCTAGGGTGGCATTGTAGGCTTGCCTCTATTTCAGCCAGACCATGTGGGGTATTATCTTCCTGTGTATTGTTCGTGCATTATTTGGTTTGATGCAGGAGTTATGCTTTTTTTTAAAAGAAGTCTGAAAACAATTGGTTTAGGTCAAATGCCCAAGATTTTATAGAGAAAGTGTCTGAAGGTCAATGTGGTTAAATTAAATACCTACAGTTGTACAACTAGAGGTTGACAGAAATTAGGAACCATGAATCTGGACTTCCCATCCAGTACATTTTTACTACAAAATGTTGATTTGATTTTCCATTTTGAAAGACACAGAAGTGATCTGTGAAACGATGATTAGCCCCAGGCAGCCCCAGGCAGCCCTGGAATGCTCCATGGTTCAAATGCCCAAGACCAGATGGAGGTCCAGAAGTGGATGACTCAAAGTTTATTAGTTTTGCCACCTGGGCAGTATAGCCAAACCAGCTGCCATAAGGCAGTTCCAATTTCAACAAAGCAGTAAATGAACATAAAAGTGAGTGTAAATCCCAAGAAAAAAGTAAAGGAGAATGGCTGCTGCTGCAAGGAGATTCATCCAGGCTGAGCCCCATTGACGGCCCTTGTAGGAGGCACATCTGCCATGCCAGGTAGAAGGCAAGGACAGATTGCAGCACCAAGCCCTAAAAAGTCACCCCTTGAGTCGCTCCAGGAGCCAGTCTCCATTTGGGATGTTTGACTTGCTGGCTTGGTAGATTCCTAATCGCATCTGATGATAATAGAATGAGAAAAGCCAGCGCCTGTTAGATCATGATGATGCTGTGAGGCCCGAAGCTTTTATCTGGAAACTATGGAAAGTTGTTATTTGGTCACCTCCTTTCCATAGTTCTGGGCCCTTGGAGGCATGGATAGTCATTGGAACATAAGCCCTTTGTGGCAGATGACCAGGAATCAAGTCATTATCCTTGTATGGAATTGAATTATTATAGGTTTTTAAGATCTATATATGAAATACTCCAAGAGTCAGAGGTTGACCCTACCTCTGACCCCTTTTAGTTTTAGATGACCCGTTTAATAGATTTGTAGTTCTTGAAAGCTGAGACAAGTATAATAATGAGGATATGATCCTAGGACCAAGTTGAAAGAAGTACAGTCATTTTTGTTTAAATGAGAATGATTCACTAATGAATTAAAAAAAGTTAAGTAATCTCGATCCTCTTTGCCAGTAAGAATGCTTTGGGCAACAAGGAACAGAAAACTTGATTAAACTGACTTAAACAAAATAGAGGTTTATTATTACTATTTTTTCGTGTTATGAGAAGTTTAGAGGAATGTGGCTCCTGACTAGTTCACCTGCTCAGTGATGATGCAGTCTCTTTTTGTGTCATCTTGATGGAAAGTAAAAGGGGAAGGGAAAGTACTAGTTGCTGATGTACTCTGCCATGGCTTCGATGCTAAAGGCTGGACCAGGGTTCCATCCCTTGGGTTAACCTCTGCCTTCAGGTGATCTTTTCAGGAGCTGAGTGTTTCCGTGTTTTTATTTCTCAATTGACCGTTACTCAGTACTTAGTCTCGCGCAATAATGTAATACTGCTCTTCTCTTCTTTGTATGATGAAAGTGTGGTCGCCTGCATATTTTCTAACCAAGCAAGACAATTTTTTCTCTCTCCTTTTTTCTTCTACAATGACATGAAGTGAAATCAAACGAGAATATTCCTATTATAACCTTCTGTTTATGAGTATAGATAAATTAGCTTTTTTTTTTCTTCTTCTGGTAGGTGGCATGTTTGACTCACGTCGCCGTGAATTATCTTATTGGCCAAGAGGAAGCGCGGCGCTGGGGCACAGCTCACGGAAGTATTGTTCCTTACCAGGTAAGAATACAGCAATATAGGATCAGTCTATTGGAATCTGCAGTTCTGTATGATATGAGTTTGAGAGATGATTCCTTTTTAAAAAAAGACTTGCAGGGTTTTCTGTCATATATCTTTGTTTGACTATAACAAGGTTCTGTTATTCACTTCAAATTCTGTGTTTTGCACATTTCTTCATCAGAAGATTAGTAACAGGACACTTGAATGGATCAAAAGAACTTGCTGAAAGTGAGTGACTTTTAGACTCAGATAATGGTTTGCTTTTATTTTTTTCACCCAAAAGACACACTGATTGTACCCATTTTATAAAGCCTGGTTTGTTCGCCATGTCAATTAAAAACCAAATGTTACCTACCCCAGCTGACAATAATATTCTCACAGGGTTGGAGAAAAATGAAAATTTGCGTGTGACAGATCTTCAGTTCTTGAGCAAAGCAGATGGTTCAGGAACTGCTGTTCTTTATTAAGTGTCTAAACTTGTCCTCAGAAATTCTTGACTTTGGCTAGTGTGAATGAATATGTGAAGAAACTATGACTTTTCAAAAATAAAAACAAAAACTCCTCTTCAACCTTTTCAACAGAGGACAATGTTGGAAACCATGGGAATTCATATCAAATGTTGAAAGTTCAGGCTTCAGTTTTTGATGTGTATGGAGAAAGTATCTGTGAGTCGGAAGGCTTTACAGTATAGATCCAAATCATGTCACATAGTGAGGTATTCGCTATGTTCAAGTATAACGTTTATAGTCTATTTTTTGCTTATTTTAAAAAACAGAATGTCTTTAAAAATGTTTTGTGTAGACCTCAGTATCCCTCCTGGGTGTTTACACTGAGAGCTCTGGCATCTTGGGTGTGCTCTCAATTATTTCACTGTGAGGTGAAAAGAAATTTAGAATCATCGGCTATTTTTATTATAGGTAGAAGATATGGGAGACTTCTGTGTGTGTATGTGTGTGTGTTTCTTTTCATTGAAGACAGAAATGTACTTTTCCTTCTTGAATTGCCCCAGTTACGTAAAATGGACACTGTGCTTATTTGATCTAGTTGATTGCAGCTTTATAATCTGTAAGAAATAAAAGAAGATCTACTAGGGACTTTCCTCAAAAGCCCAGAATTAATTTGTTTCCTCTTGATGGAGAACGGGTTCAGCACTGTGATTAAGGAACAAATGCAAATTTAGCTTGAATGAAGCTAGTATACCAAGATGGAGCCTAGATATGTTTGTAGACCCTGGTCTGTTTTCAATTTTTTAAAATAGATTTGGGAAATATTTTTATGGGTGAATTACAGGGCAGTTATAATTCAGTTTTCTACAATAATTAAAGCGTTGCATCTCATTTGAGTTGTCTGAGTTTTGGGCTGAAAGCCTATGATGGAAGACTCTGATGGTCTCAGGAATTAGTTACGGTGGCCACCTCACTCTCTTCAATTTTTTAAAATTTCATTTTATTTTTATATTTTAATTGAAGTAGAGTTGATTTACAATGTTGTGCCAGTCTCTGCTGTACAGCAAAGTGACTCAGTTTTACACATATAGACATTCTTTTTCATATTCTTTTCCATTATGGTTTATCCCAGGAGGTTGGATATAGTTCCCCGTGCTATACAGTAGGACCTTGTTTATCCATTCTAAATGTAATAGTTTGCATCTACGAACCGCAAATTCCCAGTCCATCCCACTCCCTTCTCAATTTTACTGAACTCTGAAGGATTCTGGGGATCAAGGACCTCAAATGCATGAAATGAAAATTTTTGAAAAGTAGTGCTCCTTGATTTGTGTGTTATTTTGTATACATGCAATTTTTTTTTTTGGCTGCTCTGTGCAGCATGTGGGATCTTAGTTCCCCAACCGGGATCGAACCTGTGCCCCCTGCAGTGGAAGCACGGAGTCTTAACCACTGGACTGCCAGGGAAGTCCCTGTATACGTGCAGTTCTTAACTTCTCGGGTTGATTATCCACTTGCGCCCTTTCCTCCCTGCTCTTTGGCTGCCACCTTTTTGAAAATGAGTAAATTAAACAAAGTATACAGAATTGAGATAAGCATTTTGCTGCTTGAACATCTTAGTGGAGGCTTTTCTGAGAATTCAGATTTTTAAAAGGAATTTTTGACTTCATTGCTCCTTTTGTTCCCATTATCAGTGGGTTTTGCCCCTGAGAAGTACCTAGCCCAAGGGATTGATCATTACATAATGCTCATGTTAATATTTTTCATGCATTGGTATTAGTTCAATGTTTCTCAACCCTTCAAACAATTATATTTGTAAAGACAGGAGTGTTTTAGGGACAGGAGAGGAGAGTGCAGAGAAAGCAGCTGGTCTTCAAAAAGAATATACTTTGTTTATTATGTATATGTGCAGTTATCAGTGTGGCCACCCCTCTTTAGATATATGACTAACATGATACACATCGAGGACCAAAGCAACAGCCTGGCTGCTCATAGCCTCCTATCGCTCTTAATCTTTTCCTATTTCAGTTGGCTTCCCCACACTTATTTCTCTTAAACATGCACATGAATCATTTGGAAACCCCGTTAAGATGCCGATTCTGATTCCAGGTGATGTTGATGCTGCCCATCACAATGATAAGACTGTAGACCTAGACTTTCTTATTATTGATGACTGCACCATGTCGTTTATATTCCACTGGCAAATCCCAGTGCTGATTGGATTTAATAGTCCATCTATTCTGTGCCTGACTGAAGCAGTGAATATGGCTGGGGAAAAACATAACCACCATGTTATGTTCATGGCTGTCTCTCCCCAGCCTTACTCAGCAATCTTGCCACATTTATCTACATATTTATCCTCTCTCTCTCATAAGATTATTTCACATCTTCTCTCTCTTCAAGTCTTCCTCCTCTCTCCTCATCCTTAGGCAAAGACTTTGTCTCATATGACACTAAAAATTGATGCAACCAGAAGAGAACTGCTGCATTTTTTTTTTCTACCATAACTCTCAAACTTCATTTCCTCCTATCACAGTGAATGAACTGTCCCTTTCCACAGTTTGCCGATTTAAAGGCATTGCTCCTGCACTCGATCTCTTCCATCACCTGTATTATCTGTCATCGGTTAAATATATGATCACGTCCTTCACTTAAAAAAAACCCAGCCTTGGACATCGCCCCCCCCCCCATACCCTAACCCCCCAACTCTGGGGCATGTCTTATTCCATTTACCATCCCATTTCTTCATAGGACAAAACTCTTGAAAGTTTTGGGTGGTGTCTGCTGGAAGGAAACACTGCAACCTCTATTCTGCAGTGCCATTTGTACCTCACAGGTAAAGAGACTTTACAGCACTCTGAAGCCTCAGGAGTTTGAGTGCCGGGGACCATCAGGGGATGCTGACTTTCTGGTCAGTTCATTAATAAGAATACTCTTCTTAAGCTTTTTCTTGAGCCTTTCAAATGTAGGGCCTTCAAAGAGAATCGTTCCTTTAAATGGCCTGATAATTCACATGGTGATTTCTTTCAAACTTTCCCCTCCCCCACCAAGAGCTTCCAATTCAAGAGAGTGAAGAAAACAATTATTCAGATGATTGAATAAAACCATGTCTCCCTTTCTTCAGTTTGGGCTCATTCAACCAAGGAATAGAGCAGGAAACTGTGCTATGTTATTTCTGGTAGGGACCTTATACTGTATATTTAATTTGGCATAAGCAGAGACTGAGACAGGCAGTAAATTCCAAGTTTGAAGAGATACAGCACTTTGCTATCATTCCTTAGAAAAACATCAAAATGCTGTTAAATCATAGCAGATTAGGTAACCTTGGGAATCTTTTTCTTTTAACCCATGTTAAGGATGTTTTAAAAAGCCAAAATGTGAATGATATACATCTGTTTCTTGTGTGACTTTTTCTTTGTACCATAGTAGCAGTAAAGCATTCATTTGCTGAAGTTTGCAAGTACAGTTTAAACAAGCATATGATTACATTGCATATATTTTATTGATGCATTGATAATAAGAGTAATGATAAACATGCTGGCTTCCATTGAACACATATCATGTAACTGGGATATATATCTACATATATGTATATTTTTCTTTCTCATTTTATATGGATGAAAGGGACGTCTAGAGAGGTGAACCAACTCTCCTATGGCTATAGCTAGAAAGCCAAAGGGCCTGGATTGTAACCATGATTTTAAGTTTTCAAAATTTGTTTCCTTTCTCACTATATCCGAACTAGTGGTTCTTTTGGTGCTTGACACATTGTAGCTACCTGTCTTTTAGTTTCTTTCGCAGATAGAATTCTTCTGATCTGTTTCCATCATCTCTTTGACAAACGACCTATTTATTATGATTTTAGAGGGTCCCAAACCTAATAAGTGACCTGGCTATGGAACTATATTTGAATTCTGAGCTATGCGGCAACTGTAGGTTTCCCTCTACCATGTTTTCATTCATGCTTTCAAATGACTCCTGATAAATAAGCAACAGTTCTTGAGCCCCCTATGGAGTAGGCACTGTTTTAGTTCCGGAAGGCTTCCAAATGAGGAAAAACTAGGCCCTTGATTTCACTGAACTCAGAGCCCATATAGCAAGCACAGCTGAGAGGGTTTGAGCTTTGGCGTCAGACAGGCCTGGGCTCATAACTTGGCTTTGCCACTTCATGGCTGCGAAATCTTGGACAAGTCTTTTAATATCCCTAGTGTTAGCTGCTTCCTATGCAAAAAGGTGATGATGATAGTTGTTTCCACATTCATTGATGGAGTTAAATGAGATAGTGCGTGCTAAGTGTTTTGTGTAGTACCTGACTCTAGTAAGCACGTGGTGGAAGGTGGCTCCTGTTATTATTTCTGTAGTTGAAGTAATAATTATAACTTTGTGAAACAGTTTCTAGGAAACTATGAAATAGTCCCTATGAAAACTATCCATGGCAGCTTAGGGGCAGAATAAATAAAGAGACATAGCTGATTTTCTTTCTTAATGGAATTTCCACTTTAATTTCTTTCTTTAAAAAAAAAAACAAAAAACGAAAGGCAATGTACTGTGCTA